TGTGTATATATATATACATGCAAAAAAAAATAAATGTTTAATATACAAAAAAAAAAACTTTAATTAGTTTAATTATGACCCACATTCGGGCCACCAAATTTCATCATTTGGTTATTTGTTGATCATGGCTCCAACAGGTAAGTTTAGTCTAACTTGTTTTTTGTATACCCATATGCCTTCTTTTTGCAGCTCGTACTTTTCTAAAATCCCTTCGGCGGCTTCTTCCGTCGATAAGAATGTTTCTGATTCTTCTTCTTTCATAGTAATTCATATTCTCTATCTTCCCATAGAATTATGAGGTCATCCACTAGTTTCCTCTTATATTGAGCTGTCATTCCTCTCCATCCCTCCTTGTTTACTCTATTTAATCTCTTACTCTATTTTTTCATCCTATCTCTACTTTCTACTTCATAATTTTGCTTATGTTTTATCTGTATAATCAGTCTTCTTCTTCCTCGTTTTCTGCTTCACTGCTTCCAATTTCTTCTTCAATTTTTTCTTCGTCTTCTTCATCCTCGTCAACTTCAGATTCTGCGTTTTCAGCTATATCTCATCTGCCCTTTCTTCAATAGGCGCAACTTCTGTCCATGGATCGTAGTAGAGCAACATCCTACTCACGTGGACCGTATCCTTTTTTCTGCTTCCAATCTTTTGTACCTCGTAATTCACTTCCATTTTTCTAATTACTTTGTATGGTCCAAACCATCTTAAGAGTAACTTTTCGCTTCTTCCAACCTTTCTAATTGGTATGAAAACCTTAACTTTGTCTCCAACTACGAAATCTAATTATCTATGTCGTTCGTCAAAACGTCCCTTATCTTTTCCTTGTCTTTTTTGTATATTTTCTACTGCTATGGCTCTTATTAAGAGTGCCTTTTCTCTAATTTGCAGAGCGTCCGTTTCGTTGTCAGCGTCCAACAATGCAGCTTCTGCTGGTAGTGTGGGTTCCCTTGCATATGTTAACATAAATGGGCTAAATCTCGTTGTGTCCTGTATTGCTGTATTATACGCAAATGTTATAAATGGTAGATAGCTACACCAGTCTGTTTGCTGTGTGTTACAATACATGGATAACATGTCAGCTATTGTCTTATTTAGCCTTTCAGTGAGACCATTACAACAAGGATGGTATGCGGTTGTAAATTGGCTTCTTACTCCCATTAATTTTCCTAATTCCCTTACTAATTCCGATTCAAAAACTTTTCCTCTGTCGCTGATCAGATTTCTTGGCATCCCGTGTATTAAGAATACTTTTTCTAGTAAAAAATTTGCAACTGGTCCGGCTTTTCCATTCGGTAGGGCGGCTGTGATGGCATATCGTGAGGCGTAATCGGTAATTACAACTATCATTGTTTTCCCTTTACTGCTTCTTCTAAATGGGCCTAAAAGATCAATTCCGATCTTGTCGAAAATTCTTCCCACCGGTATTGGTTGTAACATCCCTGGCGTTTTTCTGTAAGGTTGCCCCTTTCTAGCTTGACAATCTGGGCATTCCTTAACGTACTTTTCGATGTCCTTTAGCATTCCATCCCAAAAAAATCTGTTTTTAATTTTGTCCGTTGTTTTGCTCAGTCCCAAGTGTCCACTTGTCGGTGATGCATGTAGCTCCCACATAATTTCTTCTCTCATTGATTTTGTTACTACTAATACTTTTTCTAAGCCGTTTTTTGTCTTATTAATTTTATAGAGTAAGTCTTTTTCAATCCTAAAATTTTTTGCTCTTCTTCTGATGCCAATATTAATTTCTGGGTCGTCTGGGTTTCTTATAGCTTTGAATATTTGTTTTAGATTTGGGTCTTTCTCATGTAATGTAGCCGTTTGCACTGATTTTAGTGTGAATGTGGGGAGCTCCTCTTGCTCTCCTTTTTCCTCGGAGTCTGGTTGAAGCACTGGATTGCGGGACATACAGTCGGCGTCGCTATGTGTTGATCCTTTTTTTTATATACAACCGTGTAATCAAATTCTGCAAGTTTTAGTGCCCACCTGGCCAAGCGTCTGTTACTTTCCTTAATGGAGTCCATCCAGCAAAGAGCATGATGGTCAGTGACGATTTTTACTGGTCTCCCGTAAATTAAGTGTCTCAGATATCTCAATGCCCATACTACGCCTAAGAGTTCTAATTCACTAATTGAATAGTTCTTCTCGCTATTTGAAAGACTTCTGCTTATGTAGGCTATTGGATGTGCTTCTCCCTTGTCGTCTTCTTGTAAAAGTACTGCCCCAATTCCACATGTTGCTGCGTCGGTGTGCAAAATGGTATCTTTATTTGGATTGAAATGCTGTAGCACAGGTGCGGAAACGAGTTTTTCTTTAAGAATGTTGAATGCTTTGTTTTGTTCAGAACCCCATTTGAACCCTATGTTCTTTCTTGTAACTTCATGTAGCGGTCTTGCTATTGATGCAAAGTTATGTATAAATTTTCTATAAAAATTACATAATCCTAGAAAGCTCTGTACATCTTTAATTTTCTTTGGCGTCGGGAACCCTTTTACGCAAATTATTTTTTCTTCATCTGGTAATATGCCTTGCTCCTTTACTTTGAATCCTAGTATTTTGATTTTTTTTTTCAAATATTCGCATTTGCTTGGTTTTAGAGTAAGGTTGGCTTGTCGCAATCGCTCAAAAACTTTCTTTAGTTTGCTCAAGTGTTCTTCGAATGTTTGTGAGAATATAATGATGTCGTCTAGGTAGATTAGCACTTCCTTCCATTTCATATCCCAAAAAACTTGGTCTGCTAGTTCTTGGAAAGTGGCTGGAGCGTTGCATAATCCAAAACTTAAAACATTAAATTCGTAAGTCCCATATGTCCTTGCGCCACGAAAGCAGTATATTGCTTGGACTTCTCTTCGGCTGGAACTTGCCAATATCCGGAAAACATATCGAGTGTGCTAAACCATTTTGCATTTCCCAAGTATGACAAAATGTCATCGATCTGTGGTAGTGGGTATGTTGATTTTTTTGTTACTGTGTTCACCTTTCTGTAATCTACACAAAATCTTGTTTTTCCATCTTTTTTCTTAACTAGCACTACAGGGCTAGCCCATGGAGAGTGGCAAGGCCGAATTACTTTGCTATCGAGCATTTCCTGGATTTGTTCGTCAATAATCTGTCTTTCTTTTTGTGACACTCTGTATGGGCGGCTCTTTATTGGGCGAGCCTCTCCGACGTCTATTATGTGTTCTGTTAAGTTTGTCTTTCCCATATGTTTTGTGGATTTCGCGAAAACGTCGTTGTATTCCAGAAGGAGTTATTTGAGCTCATGCCTGTTCTTTTCGTTTGTGATGCTGTCTAACTTATGATCTTCCATTGTTATTTCTTCGCTTTCTTCATCTTTTTCTGCTTGCAACATGAAATTGTGTGAAAGATTTGTCTCTGATGCAGTTTCTGCATTGTGGTTCCTGCGTAAATAGCTACTGGGTTCCTTGTGTTCGATTGTTCTTTTAAAATGAGGCTACCTTCATTGGTGTGAATGTGCGTTTTTAGTTCAAGATGATTTTTTGCTAACCAATCTAAATTATATTTGCTTGTACACGTAGTATTATCTTTAATCTCACTATTTTTTCCCATAATATCTAATTCCAATGTTTTTAACTCATTCTGAGATACCGTGTAATCTTTCTTTGTACCCAATTTATATGTCTTTTTCTTGGTTTCTGTATCGATTTGCATCAGATGCCTGATTTCTTCTTCCTGCTTTTCTCCTTTAGCTTTATACCCAGGTTTTTCCCTATAAATATGAATTTGGACCCCTGCATCTTCAAATAGAAAATATATCATCTGTTTAAATCTTGTCCATTCTTTTTCTAATCCCCATCCTTGTCTTGGAATGACTAATTTTTTGATGGATTTATTTTTTGAGATATTGTTCCTCAGTGCTGTAAGACATTTATACATGTTTCTTGGACTTGGCTTCTTCTTCATTAATTCTCTTGTAAATAGAAAAATGAGTGTCTGTCTTCTTCGTAGCCTGTTTGATTATTTGCTTGGTTTTCTATTTCCCTTTCAATTTGTTCTAAACTGATACTGGTTGACTCTGGTGGTGATCTTTGCAGTGATCTTCTCGGCAGAAAGAGCACGTTTTCTGATTCTAATTCTACTGGTGTCGTTGCTGCTGCGTTCTTTGGCCTCAAATTATATTTGGTTTTGTCTGGCATCTATTCTTGCCACAATGGCGGCGGTACCAACTATGTGTCACAATTTTTTCTTCTGTCTTTTCTTTACCTTCGCCACGGTGTCGTGACTTTCTCTTGCCGACGTACCGCCTGGTGACGTGTTTGGACGTCGGCTTTCTTTAAAGGCACCTTACGGCGTCGGTTCTTGCGCGTCGGTTTCGAGACGGCGCCTCCACCAAATAAGTCACAACTGCCCGCTTTACGGGGGTGACATGGGGGGTTTGTAGCTTTGGGGGTTGATGGAGAGAAACTCGCTCAGGTTATATAAAAATATAGATATATATTTTCCCAAATATGACCTTACATGTACGCTAACCCTATAAGATACATGACCCTTCGTACACTGAGGTCTTTATAGGGGGCCACACGTCAATGCTGCTTGGGGGACTGTAGGTTAGTTTATCGTTAGCCTTATGCCTTGTCCAGAGGGGCGTTCCCAACGAGAGGTAATTGCACTGGACAACGATAAGGCTGAAGATACCCAGAGGGGCGTTCCCAACGAGAGGTACTTGCACTGGGGAGACTTAATTCCAGAGGGGCTTTTCCAACGAGAGGTACTTGCACTGGTTTAAGTCTGCCTTTTCTGCGGTTTGCAGCGCAATTTATATCAATTTATTGCTGAATTGCAATAAACATCCGACCGAATCGGCAATTAAATTAATAAGGTTGAATACCGGGTCCTCCTTTCCTAAGCAGCTAGTTGACAGTATTAAAATTTATTTTATTTAAGACAGCATGAATAATGTTAAATGTATAAATAAGTTAATTCAGAAATGAACATAGTATTAAAATTGAATTCACTCCAATTAATATTGATTATATTTCTAGCCTGATCCGAAAGTATGCCACGAATCACTCATGGATCAGATCAAGCGTGGAGCGACACTGAAACGAGCGAAAATTATCAACGACCGATCAGCTCCGAAAATCTACTAGGGTAAAAGTTAGCTGTTAACTGTATTTTTGTTTTGTTATAATATATCTATTTAGGTTTAATATTTATCATTGTAATTAAAAAACTGAATCGGATAATAATGAAATGTTTGGTCTATGTACTAATTAATTGTTAACCTGAAGCATTATAATCGTCAATATTGCGCTCATATTTATAAATACAGGAATTAATAACTTTCTATGGAATTTTAACATCAAAGCTAATATCACATAGTTATAAACTTAACTTCTCTTGTATTTAACTAATGCCATGATATGAAAGTAAATAATTTTTGAAAAATTTAGATGAAAAGCATTCATATTATGTATATTTATGTCTTCTGAAATAATATTACATTATTACCATGAACTTTGTCGTCCACTATCAGTGACTAGAAGCCTGAAGTTATTTTTGTATTTTATGGCCAAAATATATCCTTAGTATTAATGTGGACTGATATTTTATCAATTATTGTAATTTATTTTCCTGCTGTAATATCCAGCCTTTCTATTTTATTTTTAATTGTGATTTAATGACTAATAAACATAGGTATTTTAGGAAAGAAGAAATTTTAAAAACTAATATTATAAGTTTATAGACGATTTAATTGAAAAACTTTTTAATTTATAACTTATCTATAAGTACCTACTTAGTTTGTAGATTTTTGAATAGTCCACAATTAGCAATGATGATGCAATGGTTATGATGTGCATTGATTTTTCAGAAAGTTTGCAGTAAACTGGAAAATATTAAGCTACATTGAATTGAGATAGTGATTCAATACTGTCCAGAAAAAGTAAATCAATGAATTTTTTTGGTAAACCTTATAATGACGAGTTTGAAACTTCTTGATATGTCTGACGAGCAGTGGCGGCTCGTATATGAAAATTCAATCTCAGTTTTTTATTCCTGATTTCTAATTAAAATAATAATTCACAAATTACACTTTCCAAATTTCAATGTAATTTAGAAAAATCTGACAACATTATTTCAATTAATCCCGCGCCTCCACGACAAAAATCTGTGAATCTGGGATATTCAGTAATACGAGCTCAAAGGGCCGGAGTTATACGCGAGCCCGAAGGGCTAGAGTTATTTTAATCACGGGGCCCCCCAGTCTATAATTCTATTGGTCAAATCGGAAATATTCAAAATAAAATCATTAACAATCCTGAAAAATATTTCCTTTAAAATTCCCAAATATTTTTTGGAATCCACAAAAATCTGTTAAAGTCTCATAATTTCATAATTTAGTGGAATTTCCAGGAATTTCGGTAGAATAATTATGTTATTCTGAAATAGTACATTAAAATACAAGTTTCATAAGACGTCATTTTATCGCACGAGCCCTATATTAGAAAACGAGCCGGAGGCGAGTTTTCTAAAGGGCGAGTGCGATAAAATGTCTTATGAAACGAATATTTTATACTATTTTTTCTATTTTGGTATTGTTTAATAAAAAAAAAAAACTTTTCTTGGAAATTTTATTCTCATATTTCCTGACTTCATATGTTTAGGTTGGCAACACTACATGCCAAATATAGAAATCTTCTATTATTTTTTATTGCGAATGACAGTTACATGGCCATCAGTTAGCCAGTGTCACCAACCTCCGATAAGTAAAAAAGGAGTGTCACAAAGAGCTTCTTTTCGAAACTACTTTCAGTGTCGAAAAGACTTCGATATGACACCAAAATAGAAAAAAGAAATTAGATGTGAAGTTTTTATGGAGTTTCCATAAAATTCACATTAAATTTTAATTCATCTCGAATTATTTGAAATTTCAGTGAAATTCCGATCGAATTACACGAAATCCTAAATGAATTGCATGGAGGAATTTTAAACAATTATATGAAATTATACCGAAATTCCCAACATGGAATTTCAGTTCTTACTGAATTTTAGTAATGCTGAAGAATTTCCAGCTAAAAACATGGAATTTCGGTGATATTCCGAAAAATTCCCATGTAATGACATGAAATTTCAATATATTTCGGTGAATTTTTAAAAAATTACTTGAAGCTTCATTAATATTCCCAGAAATTTCTGGCAATTGAAAGAGAATTTCAGTATAATTCCGAAAAATTCTTATGATAATAAATTAAATTTTGAAAAATTCCTTGAAGTTTCATTGGACTTTCGAGAAATTTTCAGCTATGAACGTGGATATTCTCATAAAATTTTAGTAAATTCCGAGGAATTTTTAAGAAATTACATGAAATGTCAATGAAATCCGAAGAATTTTATGAAAATTTTGTGGAATTCCAGGATTTCAGTGGTAAAAGTTTGGGGAATTTTAGTAAAGTTAAAAAAAAATATGGAATTTTGAAATTGAAATTTCATAAAATCCTATACTGTAATTCTGAAAAAATATTGTCCAAGAATTCCATAAAATCTTTGAAATGTTAAGGTATTTCTATGGAATAACTTAAAATTTTAGTGAAATTCCAAAGAATTTTGATGAAATCTTCGAGGGGTTAATCACTCCCCGAAATCGTCTCACAAATTTGTCCGAAATCCACGAAATCACTCCGAAATCCCTCCGGAATCTTTCAGAAATCTTTCCGTAAACCCAAAAATCCTTCGTCATTGGCTCAAAATTCATAAATTGGCCAACGCGGCCGCTTTTCAGTTTATACTAATACACTTTTGAATATACTTATAAGTAACAGTCTGAAATTAAATTAAAATCATTGCGAAATCACCTGAAATTCTCCGAAATCTCCCAAAATCCTTCGAATTTACCCAAAATTCTTTGAAATCACCCGAAATCCCTTAAAATCGCTCTAAATCTGAAATCTTGTCACAGTGAATAATCCTTCGAAATCCTATTTTTTACCGGAAAAATTTAGATTTTAGGAAAATGAGCCTTTAACCTTTTTTCTCACATGCAAAAAGTTTCAAAATGTTTTCCTCACTGGTCTTTCAGGAACACTTTAAAATGTTTGAGACTGTATTTTCAATTAATTCATTTATTGGACTTATTGGAGGTTGATTTCCAAGATTCTTCATGTTGTCATTTTCCATTAGAAAAATTTGAAATTTTGGGAAAATAAGCCTCTGAATTTCCTCTTTACATACAAAAAGTTTCAAAATCTTCTCTTAATTAGTTTTCTCTCGAGTTTTCCAAGAAAACTTTGAAGTACGTAAGACTGTATTAACAATTATTTCAGCTTTTGTAAGTTGATTTTTAAGATTCCTCATGTTGTTATTTCCTAATGGAAAAATTTGAAATTATGGGAAAATGAGTGTCTAACTTTCCTCTTCACATGCAAAAAGTTTCAATTTTTTCCGTTCACTAGTTTTCCAAGAAAATGTTTAAATGTGTGAGACTATATTTTCAAATAATTCAGTAATTGTAGGTTGATTTCCAAGATTCTTTATGTTGTTATTTCCCAATGGAAAAATTTGCAATTTTGAGAAAATAAGCTTCAAATCTTCCTCTTTATTAATTTCCCCTCAATTAGTTTTCCAGGAAAACTTTGAAAGTGTGAGACTGTATTTTTCAAGAGGCAAACCACCTTGGTATTTGCTACACGCTAATTTATATATTGAAGAAAAGTTAATCAAATCAGGATAATAAAAAATATATATATATATATATATATTATATATATCGATTTAGTTTATTAATTATGTTTCTTTAATAACAGGTTTGGGGTCAGCGGGGTGTAGCAAATAATGCCTAGCTAGTCCGGTGTGAGTTCGAGCGCCACTGGCTCGACGCAGCTTGAGCCAGAGAGCTTACTGGTTTTCAGTACTACCCCAAAACCCTAATTAGACAAACACACAATTCTTGTGAAACAAAACTCCCTGAATATTTAATTTAAGTAATAATAGATGATTCTGTTTAGTAGTAATTAATAAATTTATAAAACCTAAAAATATTGGCCAATCCCAGTTGTGATCACAACCGGTTTACACGGTCTTTTATACGAATAATTATTTAATGAATTGCCTAAAATTTATTATAAGGCCCACAGGCCACCTTTTATTTGAGACTTTATGAAATAATTTAATATTTGAAAATAAAAATAATCTATCTGCTTTTCCACCAAGTTGATATAGAAAGATTGCTCTTCCTCCCTTATTAAAATTTCTCTATGAGTTAGGTACTTAGCTGGAACACGTGTTGTGTTACAAATCCGAGAATGGAAGCTATCTGTCAGGACATCCAGTTCCAAATCGAATCCAATAGGTTTTCTTTCTCTTTGAATGCCGATCGAATTGTCTATTTAATGGTGGTTGATTGGTAGCACTACACTAACATCCAAATAGGAAGAGAAGCCCTACAAGATCGGAGGAAAGGAAATAGTTATTTCTAGAAAATTCGTTGGGGTCAAAAAGTTTGACTTACGTGGTTGTTGTGTGGCTTTGAAGTAGTTTATTTCCTCTATAGCTGGAAAGCTATAATACTTCCAGACGAGAAATGTTCTACAGAAGGAATCTTGTGTTAGTTACAAATAAAAAAAACACGTTTGGGCTTACCTCAGAGGTCAAAGTGGAAGGCGGAATAAATCCGGCAAATAAGCCGATAGCGGTAAATTTCACCGATAACTAACTCACTCAGGAGCAAAACCAAATAAATTTACTGCCAAAAAAAAAAAAAAAAAAGTATCTCACTTTCCCAAAACTGGAAACCAAAAATGTGGTTTAATTTGTGACGATACAGTCCACGCGACCAAATGACTTCTGACCGACCTTTTTCTGTTCGGTACTTAGAACCCAAAAAAAAACTAATAATTTAAATAGGTACCATCGGAACCACTGCCGACACCTTGGGGCAAAAAAACGAATTCCAACAAAACTGCGACAATTTGCAAAATCGTACCTAGAAATAAATAATGATCTTTCAAGGAACCATCAAAAGAGGCCACCACTTGCATGAACATGGAAAATAATTCCAGCCTAGTATTTGAATGAGTCCCCCATAAATACATAAATAGATTCCTTTAAAAAAAACGTAACAAATCCCCCTCTTACTTCTAAAAGAATTTCGTAG